TTGGAATAGAGAAGTGGCGATGTTACTTTCTTCCTAACTTGAGTTAAGTTATAGGCGTGGTGTACATTTACAGGCTGTCCCAATATTGTATTCTTCTCAGTCTTCCTTCAGTCTGCGAATAGTGAACAGCGTCTGCAATTCTGTTCCACACTTGACCTTCAATATCAGTACTCACAGAGTACAAATAAAAAAATCACAGGGATTTAAATCAGGTGGACGTGGTGGCCAGTAATTGGAGTATCGCTTCCCTGCTTGTCCATCCGCCTGGGTACAGATAATTTAAATGTTCTCTTATATAGATTAACTGGTAGATCGTCAGAGTATTTCGCAGAAAATCGAGACGAATTGGTAATATAATAGGAACAAGCAGAAAGTTATTGGTAAAACTAATCCACACGTTTATATTAAATTCTCATCGAAAATGTCTTTCCACAAGGCAAGGAAGTTTTAATTTGCGTAAACATGCTGGTTATGAAGCAGAATAATATATTAAAAAAACGAGAATTTGATAAATCAAAAATATACGAACCGATGGTAAAACATAATTCAATGAGATTCGGTTAAAATTTTGGTGAAAGAGTACCAGTAAAAGAAAATTGAAAGAGACAGTATTTTTAAAATAGTCATAGGCGAAAAGTTACGATTTAAATCAGAAATTGGCCCCTTTAGATCTACGGCACTGGTAGTTGAAATGCACAATTACAGGCATGGATTTATAAGTACTAAATTGGTCATCATATTTTTACAAAACATTTTTGTTTATTACCTGTCAAATGTCGCTCCAAAGAATTTCTTTGTGGGACACCTTGAATATTACTCAAACAACTTTTTGATTTATTTACTACGTCGGAAAGAGCTTTGTATTAAAGTACCAATCAACTGATCTGAGTTGTCAAAATGCGTGATAATAATAATCAGTATTGCTCTTTAAAAGTGTACATAAAAATATCCAAGAACGATATTTCGCTTTACTAACCAAATCATATACCTACCTTAAACCTGTCAAGTAATTGAAAGAACATTCCGAAGGGATAAATCCTCGTTTCTTTGAAATATAAAGGATTTGGAAATCTTCACTAAATGTCTGAATACCGTCAATATTACCTTTATACACACGACATGAATTTGATTTTACATAATAAAACGATCGCTTTCCGATTTGTTATATTGAAAATGAAAAATATGTATTTAATATATTCGATATTCCTTCCTTTGGAATAATTAAGTGAAACCTAATATTGCTGATAGCTAATAGATTGTATGCCGCAATTTTGTGATATATTTTATCTGCTCCCATTAAAGTAAATAGACTATTAAATACATTGTTTTTAAGGAGGTAATTGTGGCTGATTTCCACCCACCATGTCTCTTGATTGCTAATACATCAACTCCTATATCAGCCAGTAACGCTGCCGATGTTCTTCGGAATGAATAGTCTGTATATGTTTCAGGATGTTGTAGTTTCAAAAACTGTGCAATCTTATTAGTCTAATCTAATATGTGTTGTCGGGTGGCTCAATGAAATAATCGTTGACTTGGTCTCTTGTAAAAACGTTTGACTTTTTAGGTGTACAGCCGTCATTCTTACGTTTCAAAAATGCTCTCAGCTTGAGGTATTTTGCGTTCTCCTCCTTGAAAATAGTTGACTTAATCATTGAGTATTCACTCCACAAATTCGCCGGTGACTTTAAAGTTCTTGACTTCTTCATGAAATATGCTAGCAGTGACATTTCAAAAACACCAGTATTTTTGTTCTGGCACCATTTCCATATGAGCATCCGTAGCGCACTTTTGACTTCTCGGGCAATTAAAAATTCGCAGTCAGCATTTGCTGCACTTTCTATTTGAAAATCACTCATTTAGAAATAATAATTCAAAACCAGCAAAATTGTAACTTTTATGTAGCTTTGTTTATAAATACATTAGAAACGACAAAATCCAAATAACCGACTTTGCAAAATTTCGAATAATGTCAGAATGAATTGATTAAGAAATGTCAAAAATAAAACCTAATCTTTATTTCATGAACCATAAAGAGCTGTGTGAGCAGATAAAATGTTATACACGACGCAGCAGTTAAGTATAATTACCAGTCTCGCCAGCCCTCGCTCCGCTCGGGCGCAAAATCGTCCTCGACTGGTAAATAATACTTAACTCCTTTATTGTGTAAATAACTATTACCTAGTTATAAATATATACAGGATCTTGATTAGCCACGCGCCTTTTTTACACGAGTGGCTATAATTTAGAGAATATAACCCCATCGGTCAACTCTCTCCTCTCGTATCGAATTCCTAATCAGATATGCACCTGACAAACTTAGAATACATCCGAAAACGCCCGGACCGGAAACCCTGTGCTAATAGAACGTCTGGGGAGCGACACTAATGCTTGTAATATGCTAATAAATTAAGTGTTGTCAGACTGACACTTGATTGTATCTCAGTCGCGGGCACGGAAGCAAAAGCTTCTTGCCGCACAATTAATGTCGTTGGGAACAATTCCGTTCCGTTCTCTCTTTATAATCTGATACGAATTGTGTACTTTCGCCAAGGAAACATAACTGGACTGCAATAAGTAAACATTGAAATCCATTCTACAAAAATATCTTATTCGTTTATTTAAATAGATTGGGCTGTTAAAAACTTAGGAATAGTTATTGATTAGCTACCGCAAAAATATACAATGGTTTCTGCTAAATAATCATTTCGGAACCTATTAACAAAGTTCGCATGCGATAATCAAGGAGCAAAGTTAATTGCGCGATCATAGCGGAATTAAGTGTAATTGGAAGAACAATATTCGAGGATACTCTTCAGACTTTTGAGCATAACGGTAAATGGCTGCGTCCGAATGGTCCATTAGAACAGATAAATTAAGTCCAACACGATCCTAACAAGATATTACATGCTTAACGTGAGCGCATTAATTCTACCGGATGTGCTCGAATTGGATGTGAATTTGGATTCCTGCAGAAAGTTATCGCATTACTTTGGTTCATAATACACTCATAAAATTGTTGATGTTTATATAATTTACACAAAGTCATTATATTTACGTACCTTAGTATTTATTTATAACATTGGGTGGATAAAACGCTGTGCTATATTATTGCGCCACAAATTAATCTAAACATGCCTAGTGAACAACTAGCATTTGAGCCAAATCAGGTCATCTAAGTGTACACATTTATTAATATATTTACATCAGTAAAATAAAAAAAATTATTTAATTTTCTTTGGAGTTTATTTCCTGCAAATATTAACGATGTTTTTGTGTAATATACGGCGCTTTGTTAAATCATCAAAAGTATTAGTTTCATTAATATCGTCGGAATAAGAGAAAAATGAGTAAATATTGGCCTTTATTTGTGTCATGTCCCTTATATTTCTCAGATAGGTTTTGTGGAACACTTCATGAGAGCCAATCTTTGGATCGTGTATCATTTATGTAAATATTTGTGTAAGAAATGAACTTTTAGCACTGTCTAACGGTTACAGCATGTCTGGACCGACAGATGAAAGCTAAGATAGTTATTCGTTATTTTAAGTTTGGTATAAGACTAAATTTATTATGCATATAATATTAATTGAGTAAAACTAATTGTAAGATAACATTTAAATAATAAATTAAAATATTCTTGTTTGACCTAAGACCCCAATCAGATGGACCCTTTAGATAAATAATGTCTAGCACGATGTTATCAAGATATATATGCTTAAGGCGAGCGCAATAATTCCGCTGAATACGGATTTTGAATCATTTTTTTATGTGCCACATAAATTAAGTAAATCTAAGCAACTTCCACGCGACTTGAATTAATTCAAGTTTATCAGCCAATTATCATATTCCTCGTGTTTTGTGGAGCCAAAAGAAAAAAGATTAAAACAGAGCACCTAGAGTGTATGTTTCCTATCCCAAAGCATGGGAACCTGTGAAACCAATTTGCGGGGAAGTGGAGTGTGCGAGGTAATCTGACCGCGCATACTTTGAACAGGTCCGGAATAAGCAATATCTTTCACTCATGACAAATATTCATTTTTCAAGATTGGAATTCAGAAAATAATATAATTTTAATGTCTTGCTTATATTAAATAAACCTACAAAACAATCTAAATGTATTTATTGTCCTTTAAGTAATGTTAGTTTATTTAATATTTGTCTTTTAGTAGATTTCAATGAATTAAATATTTTAACTTCATGATTTATTCTCACATCGATATACTTTTCACATACAGTCCCCACAAGTTCATATGCATATTTTTAAATATGTTAACATTCAAAAAGTTTTTTAATACATATGATACACAATTTTATTGGGCTTGTAGTCTAGCTAATTCAAAGACACCCTTCGGATTTATAGCCCTGGTACAGCGTCCATTAGGGGCGATAAATTAAATCCAACGCGATCGTAACAAGATATTAGAACTAACGTGGGGACATTAATTTCGCGGAATATAGTCGGATAGGATGTGGATCTAGATTTCAGTGGAAACATTGGCGTTAACTCACCGCATTAATGTAATTGATAAGGCTGAGGCCGCCGTCCCAAGGCTGCTCCTTGTCGCAGGACACGTTGGACAGCTTCAGGGTGTGCGACTGCTCCAGCGTCTGCAAGCCGATGGCGAAGACGAAAACAGAGTCGTACATCAGGGCGGCTTCCGCCTGTAAAGGAACGAATTCGCTTGTATAGCTTTCTGTTACATGTCGAGGAAGAACCACGAATTTCATACTCCAGTAAACCTATGTAGAACTTGCTCATAAATTTGTTCGTAAAATTTGAATTGTTGACAAAACTTGAGTGGAAAGTTTGTAAACAAGTTTGTAAAAAAAGTGTAATAGGTATATATTTTTTGATATCTCCAAAACTTGAAACATAGAGCAAAGTCCGAGATTAACACTTTTGTGACGTTAACCTTTTTTTAACGGTAAGAAATTTTTGTCAGATATTTTATATTTATTAGGTCAGGAAGGAACAACTAAAATAACATTTCGGGAGGAATGAACCCTGTGCCGCTTCGAGCGACTTATTCGACTAACTTTTGAAAGCTCTGAAAGACAGTTCCAGGGGGACATGCATCCATCTAAATCATTCATGAAATGTCTCATCGATTACTCTCCAGAATCGCGGTTAATGTTGTTTAGAAAGCACCTTCCTCCATCGACTTTTTGACGTTCGAGACGTATATTTATGCACAAAATACCTAACTCGTCGAAAACTAAAGTAGCTCAAATATTTGGTAGGTTAAAAACGCCTTTACACTTAAATCTCTTTTATGGAGACCGACAGCTTTGAAATTTAACAACAAAAGCATTTTTACTATGAAGTAGTTTCTTACAAAAAAACAAACTATAAAAAGAGTAAATTAAGAAGTACAGATTTCGAATTTGACGTTAATATTTTAGTATTTTTAATATACAGGACAAAATACATCCAACAGGATTTGCAGTAACACATACATTCTGCGTAAAACTTTTACACCTTTTAACGAAAAAAATACCTTGCAGGGAAAGCTCTTATGATGTTTTATGCGGGACATTTTCAGTTGGATAAATATAAAATGGACTGGCGTGAAGTTCTTTCACGTTACAAGCGCCAATTTGTAAATCCAAAAAGCGACCACCGCTTGGCAAAGTGACATGAAAAAAAAACATTTGTTCGTACTTCTGTACTAAAAAAGGCGATTCCTTTCAACATCAAAATACGTTTCAAAAGATGAAATATGGCTGAACCACATATAAGAAGTATCTTTTACTACTGTTTATTTACTTTTTTGACTTTTTTTTATATATCTTAGATATTTCCATTTTTTTTTTCAAGGTTATATTCCTATTTCGGAAGAACGTATTATTTTAGTTATTTCATAACATTTACTTTTTAAGGCTCATACTATTTGCTTCATCATAAGACTATAGGCCAGGAAAAAGAGCAGGGAAATAATGACCATTTCACGACTTTTTGTTTCGGCAAGCTGAAATTATCACTATAGATGCTAAATATTATGTACAATAACATTTTAGTTTCCACAGTCATAAAAATGGGGGGGGGAAGATTGTTTACAGGGGGATTGTATAATTTTTACGTAAATTCACATTTTTCGCTTATAACTTTTTTTCGTTCATTTCCACGAGAAAACTGCAAAGTACTTTTTTTTCGTCTTCAAAAACCTACAAAACTAGCCCTCGAGTGTCAAAAAAATATTGATCAGATCAAAAGTTATAAACAGAATAAGTTTATTTATGACATTTGAATTAAACATTTATAAACTGCGTTATTATTACCAGAACGTTTTGGCATCGCATCCTCTCATTCCTTATCACTGTCTAATAACTCACACGAAACCTGGAATCGGTAAGTTGAATAGTTTACAAGTTATGGTCTTATAAACAAATTAACTAATTATTAGTCTGGAGCGTCTTCCACAATCGCACTGATTTTTTTCATGGTAGATTTCATAATACATTGAAATCTACCATTTTTTTTAAATTTCAAATTTGATTTTTTTTATTTTTTAGCCTTAGTTGCAAAATGAAATATACAACGCACACGCGTGATATAGTTATATATTATTACATATTCGGAAAGCTTATGAAAAGAGCTTTAAGTTAAAAGAAAGTCGTCAAGATTCGTTGAAAAACAACGGAGTTACAGGCTGTCAAATATATTATTTTCAAGCAAATTTCGTTTTTTTAACGGCAGGACTATGAATATTTTCTTCGGACTCGCTGTCGTTCGTTTCCCCCACCCTTCCGCCGCGCCACAGCTTGCCGAAAAATCAAGCGACCCACTGACTTATAACAATATTTCTTATGCACTTATATACTTCCACAAATAAAATATTTTTATCTGGGAAAGTACCTACTCGGGTTGCCAGTTATGACAGTATTTTTTTTACCGCTACCAACCTAATTTGTTTAATAACAGGCCGTCAACTTTGACAGCCTGTAATTTTTTTACAGGCTTTACATATAACACAAAATATAAAACAAAACAAGAATAAGTTAAAGGAAATTAAAAAAACAATTTAAAAGAAAGAAAACTATCCAAATACATTTTCAATATGGGCACCTTGAACCTCCACTCACTTCCTACGAATGATATTTGTTTGTACACGAAAAATTATTATTTTACAGTTCTAACATAATAATTATCTCCAACAAAAATTAAATATAAAAAATGGTGGAGACGCCGCTCGATGTACTTTGTGACATAAAATCACAAATATTTCCTAAACTGTTAATTTTACCGAGTTGAATCAAGAAGGTATTATCGTTGACAAATTCTTCAGGGAATTATTTTTGAAACAGGCAGATTACGATCGTCATCTATGCAAAAATTATGAACCATTGGGCATAGCCCGTCCCTGGCGTTCTGGGCATAATGAAGTATCGCTTACAACATCAAAAACAAGCTGTACACATGTGTTATCAATCACCAAATTTGCATCATGCTGAAGTTAATAGTTTAGAAAGTGTAAATAAAAATAACTTTTTAATTTTTACCTTTGTGGGCCCGTATGGAAAAAAATATATGAGGTACTGTCCTCATCTATTCGTACTCGACTACTATGTACCTCATGTAATGTTTTAATAGGGAGATAGACCAAAAATAATATTTATGACGAATTTATGTCCCGCATCCCTGTTAAAGAGGATGCACATTTGTTACATAATGGAAGCGTTAAATACCCGAACTAATGCACTCGAAATGCAGCATTCATCTTTCTGCATTAACGACCGCGGTGGGTAGTAATTTGCACATTAGTTCCGTTCAATATGTTCTCGTTCCTTGTAGCCATTAATTGAGCCATCTGCCAAGTCTGAATTCATAAAACTCGATCGGGAATCACTCGGTTAATTGAATGCTGAATGTACATTTCTTCCGGTGAGAATTTTCCATAAATCGCCCTGCTTCGCAGCGCCGTAGTCGAACGCCGATTGTGATTGCGACAGGTAAATATGAAACATGTGCGTTTAAACTTGCATTAATTAAATGAAAAACCGCTTCAGAGAAGAAATATGACTATGAAGAAATGAAATACGACTGCGGATGTGGTTATATGTGGATATTTAACGTGGTGACAATAAACTGAGAATAATTTGTAACTGATAAAAATATCGAAAAACTATGGTCGAGAAATAAAAAAGTTACGGGCTGTTCGTCAGTTTAAAATACTTTGGGTGACCTTGGTGACTTAAAACATAACAATGTCTATGTCTACACGTTTATTTTAATTGAAAATTGTTATGGTCCAGTTAGAGACATGATCAATTGTGATGTACAGATTTGCTAAACAAATATTTTTAAAGAAATACGCGGTTGTAGATAAGCTAATCTACATAATGCTTGTGGTAACTGCACTTTAGTACAAGTAATGAGACTAGCCGAGATATAGACTTTTGCTACCTCTGAAAAATGTTACTTATACCTACATCTTTCGCAAAGAGTTTTTTGTTAAATCAGAGCATAGCGACCAATTTCAACTATAATGAGAACCCGCATTTCTCTGATTTCAAGCAATCCAATAGACGACGGTCCTATTTTATTTGATAAAAGACTAAATTCCTGGTTAAGCTATTAATAAGATCTCCGAAAAATTTTGTGTCGTTCTTTACATAGCCATTGTCGTTAATTTGTTCAGAAGAAAAATGCCCTCAAATCTTTTATGAAGTTTTTTAAGGAGCACAGGATTCTATTACAATTTACATTGCTTCAGGATTATTTGCACAAAGGAAATAGTATTGTTGTTAAAGGAACTTGTTCGTTATTATCAAATAAAAACATTTTTTTACTTTAAATTTAATTTATAAGCTTGGTAAACAACGCATGCGTCACTATTGCTTTAACTTTTTAAAATTCTGAGCAATCTTTACTACAATTAATAACTAATAGATTTCTAGTAGATAATAGAACTTAAATAAATATGTTAGAATTCATTGTGTTTCTGCAAGCAGAAGATATTAAATTAAATAATTTCAAATTAACTCTCAAGTTTTTATGTCACGACATAAAGGTGAGGTCAAAATTCCCATATTTTTTAGTACAATTTCGAAACAGAACTTTCGCGAGGAAAATAGCTTTAATAGTTTCCTTGCCGCAGTAAGCTTACTAACTTTAACTTTGAGGCCGAACACAATTTTTAATCAAGCGTGGCCCCACCCCCGACACCTAGAGAGCCGTTTCGAGCACCGGAAATGCTAAATTGGAGGCCATTTTTCTCCGGATTTAAGTTTGTAATCTCGACAAACGAAAGTTGAATCGTAAGTAATACAAATACGATGAAAAGAGAGACGACGGAAAGAGAAATGACGCCTGTTATTAAGTACACTAGCAGGCCTCAGCGGGAAGGTAAATATATATTATGGGGGAGTTCATCCTCGCTTTACACCCGGTTATCTACCTTTGTTCTCGTCCCGGTGTGCGTGACGATAGTTAGTCAATGGCTGCCTGATTTACGATACGGTCCAATCTCCAGTCGGAAACACTGTGGCTGCTTTTAATCCAAAACAGTCTGGCGCGCAAAGTGAAATTTTCAGACTACTTCCGGGGGCAAGTGCTGATCTTGAAAAGAACCATAAATCTAAGTGCTAGTAGTTTCCAAAATTTTTACCGTTAGGCTATGTTAAATACGGGTCAAAACAACTCCAGGGATTCACCTAAATCC